AAAAGACACCTGGGAGCCAGAAATCTTTCTGATTGAGCGGGGGTCAAATACTTATTTCCCTCATTAAAATGCAAATCAATTTATAACATTTTTGACATGCGTTTTTCTGGATTTTTTGGTTGTTATTCTGTCTCTCACTGTTCAAATAAACCTACCATTAAAATTATAGACTGATCACATCTTTGTCAGTGGGCAAACGTACAAAATCAGCAGGGGATCAAATACTTTTTTCCCTCACTGTATGTATATACATCTACATACACACATACACACACATACATACATACATACATACATACACTACCATTCAAGTTTGGGGTCACATAGAAATGTCCTTGTTTACGAAATAAAAACTTTTTTTTTGTCCATTCAAATAACATCAAATTGATCAGAAGTACAGTGTAGACATTGTTAATGTTGTAAATGGCTATTGTAGCTGGAAACTGCTGATTTTTAAATGGAATATCTACATAGGCATACAGAGGCCCATTATCAGCAACCATCAGTCCTGTGTTCCAATTAAAAAGCTATATCTTAGACTGGCCAATAAAAAGAAAAGATTAAGATGGGCAGTCTGAGATATGGCTTTTTCTTTGCAACTCTGCCTAGGAGGTCAGCATACCGGAGTCACCTCTTCACTGTTGACATTGAGACTGGTGTTTTGCGGGTACTATTTAATGAAGCTGCCAGTTGAGGACCTGTGAGGCGACTTTCTAATGTATTTGTCCTCTTGCTCAGTTGTGCACCGGGGCCTCCCACTCCTCTTTCTATTCTGGTTAGAGCCAGTTTGCGCTGTTCTGTGAAGGGAGTAGTACACAGCGTTATACGAGATCTTCAGTTTCTTGACAAGAATAGCCTTCATTTCTCAGAACAATAATAGACTGATGAGTTTCAGAAGAAAGTTATTTGTTTCTGGCCATTTTGAGCCTGTAATCGAACCCACAATTGCTCATGCTCCAGACACTCAACTAGTCTCAAGAAGGCCTGTTTAATTGCTTCTTTAATCAGCACAACCGTTTTCAGCTGTGCTAACATAATTGCAAAGGGGTTTTCTAATGATCAGTTAGCCTTTTAAAAAGGATAAACTTGGATTAGCAAACACAACGTGCCATTGGAACACATGACTGATGGTTTCTGATAATGGGCCTCTGTACACCTATGTAAATATCGTTAAAAATCAGCAGTTTCCAGCTACAATAGCCATTTACAACATTAACAATGTCTACACTGTATTTCTGAACAATTTGATGTTATTTTAAATGGACAAAAAAAATTGCTTTTCTTTCAAAATGTATGTATGTACGTACGTACGTACGTACGTACGTACGTATATATATATATATATATATATAGCTTTTAATATGCTTTGGGGGGAGGGGGGGAATATGAACTCAATATACTTTTAAATGACTAAAACCAAATCAAAGCTATGTAGAAATGATAATGAGCCTACATTCATACAGTTTCTTGACTGTGTCCAGTTCTTTAATAATCACTGAAATTAAAGCTAGACAGTCAGGGAGCATCGAGAATTCCCAAAACTATTTTTTTTTGCACATTTTAACAGAATACTAATTTTCAGTGCGGCCCTTAATGCGGCCCCCGATGCAAAATGAGTTTGACACTCCTGCTCTAGGCTACGAAAATGATAAACCAATCATGCAAAACACAAAATAAACTCAGATGAGCAATTATCTATCATACAACAGTCTACATACCACGGCCTTTTCCATTACTATTAAACATTGCAAACATATCAAGACCTAGCCTATATCTCATAAATGACTAAATAAAGGTCTATTCATTCCACAAAATAGGTCTATTGCACTTCACTATTAAACGACCATGCCATCTATGCATTGCTAGTCAATAGGCTACTTACTGAAAAGTCAGTGGGTTTGGGTAGATGTCCAAAAATAACACTCCATGCGGATGACGTGTCATATTTAGCTATAGTGCTGCCTACTCCGCATAAATCTATAGATGCTAATTTAAAGGAACAAGAGTTGTCTGCAGAAAAAGGAGTTTGCAATAATAGCCATGTAGCCTATGAATCCATAAGCTATTTTCCATACTTTTAAATGTTTCTCTCTTGTAATAGGCTAAATCAGACCAGATAAACCCAGCTTCAGCTTAACCCAATCCTTGGCTCACCCCTCGCAAGAAAGATGCATCCACCGCCTCTTGAATGTTTAAAACCACAAACAAATGCACAGCTCCTTTCAATGTCAGAATCAGAGTAATGGTCTTGACTCTGGGATGCATAGAGTCAGACTATTTTCTGTCCATATGTTGTTGTGACAGACTAACAATATGGTTTATCCAGTCAAATGTCATGCGTAATAAAGTAACCGCACCATTGCCCATTCCCATCCATATAGATCTAGCTGGGTCTAGATCTAGCTTTTTCTTACTTTCAGTCAGAATAGCAGCCAGAAATTGTGAATTTCCAAAGGTGACAAGTTAAAGATTATTTTCACTAACACATCCCAAAAGAATTGGGTCTTCAACAGCACCATACATAGGTTGAGCCTATAAGATTTCCGTAACACCTCAAGGCACCACTTTTCAAATGTGACAGAAAACAAGGTGCATGTGAGCTGACTGCAGGCATGGGATAAAGCTAGTTCAAAAAGGTTACAGGAAACAGTCTGCATGCCATTACAGATTTGGACTAGGTTAACCCATATATGTGTTCCACTGTTCCACAGCATGTGATCGGTCTTTGGCAGACAGTGACCAACCTTTCATCATGTAAAATCAGTTGGAGCTTACTTTCATTAGGCTACTACTGATTAGTAGTTATTGCAGTCAGCTGCAGCCTGCAATATGAACAAAGTGCTCAGTCACGTAAATAGATTACACGTGTGTAGGCTATGCATAAGGGAGGATATGCTTAATTTTGAAAGTATATTTAATTTCTTCCCAGTACAGGGACCTCCTATGTGTGCATGCGCATTTATTTAAACATTTTATGGGCCTAATAATAGAATAACATATTGAATCCCTATTAATTTAATAGGATCCCTATGGGCCTAATAGTAAAGATTTGTTGTCTAACTTTTAAAATGTATTAGCCTACCTTTTAATGTGTCATAAACACAACCAGTCATGATGTTTCCATCTGATTGTCAAACAGTTACTTCAGAAGGCTCATGTAGACTACCTGCACATATTACTCAGGGACGGCGGAACGTCAAGGGGGGGGGGGGGGGGGGGGGGGGATAGTTAAGCCTAATTTAGATTTGTTTCTGCTGTTTGCGCACTTATCTCTTCCTTGGCAAAATGTATGACATTTGGTAGGCTATTTGTTAATCAACTTGTCTATAATTAGATACGTTCAGCTTCTCTGCTGTCATTACTTGATGCTAGTCTAGAACAGGGTTTTCCTAACTCGGTCCCTTGGCACTCAGGAGTCGTGTTAAAGCAGAATTCTGCATTTTCATGCAGAAAAAAAAATTAAATAGATATCTTGCTGCGTTTTGTAAACGCAGATCTAAAAATGCTTCTTATTGTAATTTCTGCTCGGCATCAGACTCATTTTGTGCTTTAGTTACACTTCTCCACTTACATTTTTACATTTACATTTTAGTCATTTAGCAGACGCTCTTATCCAGAGCGACTTACAGGAGCAATTAGGGTTAAGTGCCTTGCTCAAGGGCACATTAACGTCATTTAGCAGACCACTTGGATGAGAATTCACAAACTGGCATTCTATCAGCAGACGGCACTCGGACTGATATGCACGTAGTCCTGTGTAGCTCAGTTGGTAGAGCATGGCGCTTGCAACGCCAGGGTTGTGGGTTCGATTCCCACGGGGGACCAGTATGAAAAAATGTATGCACTCACTAACTAATTCGCTCTGGATAAGAGCGTCTGCTAATTTACTAAAATGTAAAATGTAGCTGTGTTTCTCTGGTAAGATTTTTTATTACTTTTTTAAAACTTAGAAAGAATGTTGCCAACCACATGTCCTATGATAAACATTAGAAATATGATGGTCATGCAAAGAATAAATTGCTTTTTCATTGTAAGCTCATTTATTTGTGTGGCTTCTAGACAAATAGCGTTGCACTTCTGTTTTCACGAAAATGAAGCTATTTTCTGCCGAATGTGTTGCACTAACCCATTTTGTGTGAAAGGAAAACTATAGTTGCACGCCTCTGATCACAGGGGGGGGGGGGGGGGGGGGGGCAGGACCACATTTTGGGAATCCCTATTTTATGCAGTTAAAATAAGGCAACAAAATAAAAATCCATTCAACAATAAAAGTAGACGAAAGCTGCAAATCCAGGTCCAATCTGTACTAACAATACATTTCAATTTTCTCACCATATTGTCCCTCATTATAAATCACAGGCATGCTAGCTTTCTAGAAACACCAAGTTGAAGATAGCTAAACGTTGACACAACTAATTTATGCAGCACACCATAATAGGGCCATGTAAATGACTTTGACACCTAATTTAGGCACCACTTATACCATCTATAGCAGGTTGGACTTCTAATAGCTGTGTGGGAGAGGATAGATGATGATTATGTAAACAAGACATTTTAAACTTCAACATAAACGGACAGAGAATTAGATAGCTAATATCATCTTCAGTCAAATAATGGAAGACGGATTGACAAATGTTTATGGCCTGTGTGACAGACTGGCTAGCTTCTTCAGTGATAAAGCCGGGAAACAGCAGGGTTATTGACACCTTTTATAGACTAGCGGTCAAAATAGTCTATATCATCCTACCTGAGAAGAGCCTGGAGAAATACCTCATATACATCTGCAATGACTGCGGTCCAAGATCTCAATAATGTCTCCAAGTCGTCTTCTCCCTCTTCTGTCTACTTTTTGTGTGAGAGCCATAACAGATTGTGTTTCGACGTCATCATCACGAGCCAAATAAACCAGTAATTCTTAAGCGTTTAGACTGCGCGTGCTATACACATAATTCCACAGCTCGTTTGGCAATATACAACCAACTCAATGTATAAAGCTAATTAATCGAATTGTTTGATAAACGTATTTTACAGTGGTAGCAGATTTAGCATTACGAACTGAGTAATGAACGCCCCCAGCTAAATGAGCTATCTGCGCACATGCTGATCGTGCAAACGCCCGAGAAACAGAGCAGTTTGCAACGGTGTTGTGTACTTAGTTTTTCAAAGGTTCAGCTAGCGACATTTCTTCAAAATACTAAAAGGTTACTCAACGTACTTCTAACCATCTCGCTTGCGTTATAATCCAAGTGCTAGCATCTCGCCCGAGGCGAACGTGGAAGAGAAACTGGCAGGAAAGTCCGAAGGAAACTCCCCGGATGGACATCAATACAGGGCCTAGCGCGCACGTGTAAACAAAGCTTTCATCGTTTATCTTGATTAAACTCTGAAATTATGTTAGGTGCCTCGAGATCTGGGGGTGTAAGGGGAGGCCAAGACCAGTTCAACTGGGACGATGTGAAAGGCGATAAACACAGGGAAAACTACCTCGGTAAGTGGAGTAAAATGGGCATCCATCCTATCGTCAACGACAGTGTGGTGCTAACTGTCTAGTCAGCTTTGCAAATACAGGGCGACTAGCTAACTGTTAAGTAGGTCAATTTTACTTTCTAGTTAGATGCTTGTTAGTAACTTCAGTAAGGGTGGCAATGTATAATAATCGATCATGTAGCTAGCTACTTTAAGCTAGCAATAGTAGCTAACTGTTAGCGTGATAGCCTGTAAACATTTCTCCACGAATGCCACGTTCTCTTACCTTTTTTCTTATTGTAGTCTCTCATTACATTGCTTGTGAGTAACTCAGTATCTGCCTGAAACGTACTCTTTTGGTAAACCTAACTATGTCGAAATGATAAACTTCATAAAGCCAAGCGCACACAGCTGACACCTTTATTTAATACTGGCAAGATCCATGGAGAGCAGCCACGCACACTCGACTGCAGTTGGTCAGGGAATGTGAAAGCTAATGTTACGTAGCTAACTTAGTAGGCGCACAGATATAGCTTGCTATGAGAAAGTAGCCATATAATATATACACTATACTGAACAAAAATATAAACGCAACTATTTATTTGATTTTCATTTATTTGATGTTTCATAGGAGGGAATCAGTAAAATGAAATACATTTGTTTAATCAGCTTCTTGATATGCCACACCTGTCAGGTGGATGGATTATCTTGGCAAAGAGAAATGCTCACTAACAGAGATGTAAACAAATTTGTGTACAGAATTTGAGAGAGAAGCTTTTTGTGCGTATTGAAAATGTCTGGGATTTTTTATTTCAGCTCATGAAACATGGGACCAACACTTTACATGTTGCGTTTATATTTTTGTTCAGTGTACATAGCCAAAAGTATGTGGATACTCCTTCAAATTAGTGGATTCGGCTATTTCAGCCACACCCGTTGCTGACCGGTGTATAAAATCGAGAACACAGCCACGCAATTTCCATAGACAAACATTGGCAGTATAATTTCCCATACTAAAGAGCTCAGTGACTTTCAACGTGGCACCATCATAGGATGCCAACTTTCCAACAAGTCAGTTCGTCAAATTTCTGCCCTGCTACTGCTGTTATTGTGAAGTGGAAACGTCTAAGAGCAACAACGGCTCAGCCGCAAAGTGTTAGGCCACACAAGCTCACAGAACGGGACCGCTGAAGCGTGTATTGAGTATAAATCGTTGCACCACTCACTACCAAGTTCGAAACTGCCTCTGGAAGGAACGTCAGCACAAGAACTGTTCGTCTGGAGCTTCATGAAATGGGTTTCTGTGGCCGAGCAGCCGCACACAAGCCTAAGATCACCATGCGCAATGCCAAGCGGCGGCTGGAGTGGTGTAAAGCTCGCCGCCATTGGTTTTGGCGAATGCCTGGAGAACACTACCTTCCCGAATGCATAGTGCCAACTGTACATTTTGGTGGAGGAGGAATAATGGTCTGGGGCTGTTATTCATGGTTCGGGCTAGGCCCCTTAGTTCCAGTGAGGGGAAATCTTAATGCTACAGCGTACAATGTTATTCTAGACGATTCTGTGCTTAGAACTTTGTGGCAACAGTTTGGGGAAGGCCCTTTCCTGTTTCAGTATGACAATGCCCCCGTGCACAAAGCGAGGTCCATACAGAAATGGTTTGTCACGATCGGTGTGGAAGAACTTGACTGGCCTGCACACAGCCCTGACCTCAACCCCATGGAACACCTTTGGGATGAATTGGAACACTGACTGCGAGCCAGGCCTAATCACGCAAAGGAAGTGCCCGACCTCACTAATGCTCTTGTGGCTGAATGAAAGCAAGTCCCCGCAGCAATGTTCCAACATCTAGTGGAAAGCCTTCCCAGAAGAGTGGAGGCAGTTAAAGCAGGAAAGGGGGGACCAACTCCATATTAATGCCCATAATTTTGGAATGAGATGTCTGACGAGCAGGTGTCCACATACACACTACATGTCCCAAAGTACTGTATGTGTATATATGTACAGTGAGGGAAAAAAGTATTTGATCCCCTGCTGATTTTGTACGTTTGCCCACTGACAGACATAATCAGTCTATAATTTTAATGGTAGGTTTATTTGAACAGTGAGAGACAGAATAACAACAAATAAATCCAGAAAAACGCATGTCAAAAATGTTATAAATTGATTTGCATTTTAATTAGGGAAATAAGTATTTGACCCCTCTGCAAAAGATGACTTAGTACTTGGTTGCAAAACCCTTGTTGGCAATCAGAGGTCAGACGTTTCTTTTAGTTGGCCACCAGGTTTGCATACATCTCAGGAGGGATTTTGTCCCACTCCTCTTTGCAGATCTTCTCCAAGTCATTAAGGTTTCGAGGCTGACGTTTGGCAACTCGAACCTTCAGCTCCCTCCACAGATTTTCTATGGGATTAAGGTCTGGAGACTGGCTAGGCCACTCCAGGACCTTAATGTGCTTCTTCTTGAGCCACTCCTTTGTTGCCTTGGCTGTGTGTTTTGGGTCATTGTCATGCTGGAATACCCATCCACGACCCATTTTCAGTGCCCTGGCTGAGGGAAGGAGGTTCTCACCCAAGATTTGACGGTACATGGCCCCGTCCATCGTCCCTTTGATGCGGTGAAGTTGTCCTGTCCCCTTAGCAGAAAAACACCCCCAAAGCGTAATGTTTCCACCTCCATGTTTGACGGTGGGGATGGTGTTCTTGGGGTCATAGGCAGCATTCCTCCTCCTCCAAACACAGCGAGTTGAGTTGATGCCAAAGAGCTCGATTTTGGTCTCATCTGACCACAACACTTTTAGCCAGTTCTCCTCTGAATCATTCAGATGTTCATTGGCAAACTTCAGACGGGCCTGTATATGTGCTTTCTTGAGCAGGCGCTGTAGGATTTCAGTCCTTCACGGCGTAGTGTGTTACCAATTATTTTCTTGGTGACTATGGTCCCAGCTGCCTTGAGATCATTGACAAGATCCTCCTGTGTAGTTCTGGGCTGATTCCTCACCGTTCTCATGATCATTGCAACTCCACAAGGTGAGATCTTGCATGGAGCCCCATGCCGAGGGAGATTGACAGTTATTTTGTGTTTCTTCCATTTGCTAATAATCGCACCAACTGTTGTCACCTTCTCACCAAGCTGCTTGGCGATGGTCTTGTAGCCCATTCCAGCCTTGTGTAGGTCTACAATCTTGTCCCTGACATCCTTGGAGAGCTCGTTGGTCTTGGCCATGGTGGAGAGTTTGGGATCTGATTGATTGATTGCTTCTGTGGACAGGTGTCTTTTATACAGGTAACAAGCTAAGATTGGGAGCACTCCCTTTAAGAGTGTGCTCCTAATCTCAGCTCGTTACCTGTATAAAAGACACCTGGGAGCCAGAAATCTTTCTGATTGAGAGGGGGTCAAATACTTATTTCCCTCATTAAAATGCAAATCAATTTATAACATTTTTGACATGCTTTTTTCTGGATTATTTTGTTGTTATTCTCTCTCTCACTGTTCAAATAAACCTACCATTAAAATTATAGACTGATCATGTCTTTGTCAGTGGGCAAACGTACAAAATCAGCAGGGGATCAAATACTTTTTTCCCTCACTGTATATGTGTATACATATACATTGTGTGTGTATGTATAATATAATATGCCATTTAGCAGACGCTTTTATCCAAAGCGACTTACAGTCATGTGTGCATACATTTTTACGTATGAGTGGTCCCGGGGATCAAACCCACTACCCTGACGTTACAAGCGCCATGCTCTACCAATTGAGCTACAGAGGACCACATGTATGAATTGACTAACTTGAAACGTTGTGCAATTTGGAGATGTTCTCCAAATTAATACGCTGGTCACGATAACTGTTTTTCAAAGGTTTTACAACACTGCAGCCAGGAGGAGAGCGGAGCATTGTTGCAAAATCTTAGATTTCTAGATATCACCCTGAGGAAGAATAGTTATAATAATCACTTCTGTGTTTGGAAAATCAAACCGAATTAAACTTTATGTATAACTTCATTACTAAAGCCATGTCTCTGATTTGGGCACGCATGCTTGCATTTGGAGTAAAGTTACATCCCTGTTATTGTTTAATCCCCAGGGAACTCCCTTATGGCACCAGTGGGGCGATGGCAGAAAGGCAAAGATCTGACGTGGTATGCCAAAGACAAAAAAGGCGGTGTCAAGCCTATGTCAAGAGAAGAGGAGCTTGACGCTGTGAAGGCAGCAGAGCAAGAGGCACTGATGGCTGCCCTGTAAGAGGAACATTACACAGAAATAAGAACCTTACAGAAATATTAGAATCAAAAGTCAAACTAATATGTCTTATTCTTTCTTTTCAGAGGCCACAATACTATAAAGAGACAACCAACTGGCCTGACCAAAGAGGTGCTTCTTTTTTTCCTTCATAGTGTTTTTGAGACACATTTGTATTATGTGCTTTTTGTTGCACAAGTCCTAGATTGTATGTTTTGGATCACAATCATGTCTTCATTTTATAGTATCACAACTGCATTAGACCAGGGAAGATACAATTCAATTTAGTTTCAATCAATCATTATTATTTTATTTTTTTGCAGTTGTCACACTGTTTTACAGTAACTAGCCTAGATCCCAAATAGCAAGCAGAATCCATTTCCAATCATATTTGATCATAAATCTTAGGGATGAGTACATGATTGCTTTAATGTCGATTGCAATGTGCCCAACAGGACCTTGCAGAAGGGAGGAGGTGGAAGCTGAGGACAGAGATGTGGATAGAGTCTCAGGCCTTGGAAGCTCTGGGTAACTGACTGTCTGCTATTTGCAAAAGTGTTTGTTGCTGAAATGTTAGGCTCTGGTTCTGTATTACAGTAGGAGATTCCACCAACAAGATATTAATGGTTTTGGAACCACTGTGGCTCTTGAGTTGTGTTTATGTATCCTCAGTTTAGAGATGTTATTTAATTTTTTACCCCTTCTACGCATTATCTCACGTCGCTCTTTAGACTCTATTTTTGTAGCAGCGTACATAAGTCCATGGCAGAGTATCACCTTGAAATTCAAGTGGGAAAAAAGAGTGCTTGCCATATTGAATTTGAGTGTACTAGTTGAGTAATTATGAATATGTTTTCTGTCACCAGTGCAACATCACAGAAAATTGTGTTTTCCCAACAGGAGAAGGAAGCTGCCAAAATAGGCTTGTCAGTCTTTACAGTAAGTTTATTTTTATGCTCTCTGTGTAGAACATCCAAACTCAAAGTTTAGCTATCCAGAATAGTACACAACAATGTGTTGGTGTGTTAATCCATTTGTGTTAGCTACACATTTGTAGCTCAGTGCCGTTTTAAGATTAGGGAGGGCACTTTTTTTTAATGAGCATGGCCTTATTTCTATTACAGCATATTGAATGACTGTCATTCATATTCCATTCACCCAGCTTAATGTATCATCGATAGGTTTAGGCTACTACATAATACTCAAATTTGCCCTAAATCCATCGTGAGGTCGAGAGACACCTGAAATTGGTGTAATCAAGGTGACAGACAGTGACACATTCAATACTGCCTTGCACAGTCTAGCCTGCATGTAGCGGCAAAACGGTAAACTAAAATGAGAGTTTCTATTGGTCAAATTCAGGTAGGTCCATCCCACTTCGTTATGTTTGCTTCCATTTAAGAAACGTTTTGCAACAGAATCGGCAGAATGTACATATACACTTGGAAGAGTTGCGGTGTTGGATAGCCTTCACCAGCTAGCTAACATAAATAGCATTCCTCTCTGTTTGAGTCCGGTTGTTGAGTAGGCTAAATTAGCTTCATTAGCTAAGTAAGTGAAAAGTAAACTAAGAAGAAGAAGAAGAAGAAGAAAATATAGTTAGAAATTAATTTCAACTACTCACCACACGTTATGCACTGCAGTGCTAGCTAACTGTAGCTTATGCTTCCAGTACTGGATTAATTCTCTGATCTTTTGATTGGATAGACACATTTGTTTATGCCACAAGAGCTCCGATAGGTCGGAGGACGTTGTCCGGAAGTTGTCATAATAACTGTGTAAGTCTATGAAACGGGGTGAGAACCATGAGCCTCCTAGGTTTTGTTCTGAAATCAATGTACCCAGAGGATGGAAAATAGCTGTCCTCCGGCTACACTATTGAACTATCCTAGAAGATGCTGTTGAGGTTACTGTAGACTTTCATTGCAAAACAATGTTTTAATCAGTTATTTGGTGACGTGAATATATTTAGTATAGTTTTATCTAAAAAGGATAACTTTTAATTTTTATGAAATTCACTGAGTAGGATGGTCCTCCCCTTGTTCCTCTGAGGAGCCTCCACTGGTGTAGCTACATGATTTATCCAGTTTGGGAATTGATGCTGTAATAGACATGGTAGATGTTACATGATTATGGTCATAATGGAGAGCATTGTTTTCACAGCACCATATAACAGAAGGGAAGTCTGGAAGCCAGGAAGCCTCTGCAAGAAAGATGTCTGAGAACACAGAGAAACAGGACATCAAATCAAATCAAATTTTATTGGCCACATGCGCCGAATACAACAGGTGCAGACATTACAGTGAAATGCTTACTTACAGCCCTTAACCAACAGTGCATTTATTTTTAACAAAAAAGTAAAAATAAAACAACAACAAAAAGTGTTGAGAAAAAAAGAGCAGAAGTAAAATAAAATAACAGTAGGGAGGCTATATATACAGGGGGGTACCGGTGCAGAGTCAATGTGCGGGGGCACCGGCTAGTTGAGGTAGTTGAAGTAATATGTACATGTGGGCAGAGTTAAAGTGACTATGCATAAATAGTTAACAGAGTAGCAGCAGCGTAAAAGGATGGGGTGGGGGGGCAGTGCAAATAGTCTGGGTAGCCATGATTAGCTGTTCAGGAGTCTTATGGCTTGGGGGTAGAAGCTGTTGAGAAGTCTTTTGGACCTAGACTTGGCACTCCGGTACCGCTTGCCGTGCGGTAGCAGAGAGAACAGTCTATGACTAGGGTGGCTGGAGTCTTTGACAATTTTGAGGGCTTTCCTCTGACACCGCCTGGTATAGAGGTCCTGGATGGCAGGAAGCTTGGCCCCAGTGATGTACTGGGCCGTACACACTACCCTCTGTAGTGCCTTGCGGTCGGAGGCCAAGCAGTTGCCATACCAGGCGGTGATGCAACCAGTCAGGATGCTCTCGATGGTGCAGCTGTAGAATTTTTTGAGGATCTTAGGACCCATGCCAAATATTTTCAGTCTCCTGTCACATGGATCAAAGGTAATGTGTTTTTGATCACATATTGTATTGACAATCGATGTCCTGAGGTACATTTCTTCAGAATACTGTCTCAACAACAACAACAAAAATCAAAAGACTTGTCCGTTATATTTTCCGTTCATAGACTTGAGAGCAGCAAAAAGAAGAAAGGAAAAGAGAAAAAAAGAGGAAGATTCAGAGAAGAGACTCATCCTCCTCTTCAGATTCAGACAGTGACAGTAAAAGGTTAGCATGTTTCTGCCTTTTTAGACCTGCAGGTCATTTGTACATATTATCCTGATGCCTTTTTAAAATGATAATACAACATTTATCACAAGAAACTGAACACCAATGTCCTAATAATGCTACAAGACAAGTCCTTGCCTTTGGCACTAGAGGGCGCTAAATCACTGTTGAAGAGGGAGGTGAAGCTGGTTTTTGGTTCCATCTCAAAAGCTGAGTTTTTGTGCCAAACTTGAAAAGTTTTGTCAACCATAAACTTTGTATGCTTGGTCGAAATATAGAACAGGTTGTAGCTACCCTTACTAAGGATGTCAGTTAATGTGTCCAGCTGCTTAATTCTGTGGTAATACAGGACAGTGATGAAAAAGGAGTCTTCGGATGTTTAGCAACAGGAAGAGGTAGTCTTATGAAATTTAAAATGGGTGTAGGGTTGATTTGAACTGAGTGAATGCATCATCCAGCCAATGTAATGCTTATCTTGTTGTTTGGGGTTGGGGCGGGGGGGAGGCCTTATTTATTATTCTCCTATGGAACCGAGATAGTTATCATCCTCTATAGATGAGGTAAAGGTTTGTATCATAACATTAAGTGTATCTCTGCTTTATCTTCCTCAGCCAGCTCTCACAACAGCTTACTTCGACCCCCACCTACTAGTCCCAATCATTGATTGTTTGTGTGTGTGTGTTTTACTCCTCAGGCGCAGAAAGGACCACCATCATCATAATCCATCATGCCTCAGTCAGACTGGAGCCAGACCCCATGACAGCCATTCAAGGGGGGGGCCAAAGGGCGAGCGCCACCCCTCCTCCTCCCAACGACGCCAGCAGAGGCATGACACAGACTCCTCCGACAGGGGGTCCCCTGTACCCCGTCACCGTGCTAGCTACAAGGCAGCCCCTGCTGCTCCTACACAAAGCCACAGGCGGCGCCATGACACAGACTCGGACGATTAAGTTCCCCCTAACCCCCCAATCAGACACACGCAGAGGGAGAGGAGCCCTCTTGTCCACAGCCGAGCAGCTTGACTGGTCTATGGACTGTCCTCATGTACCTCTGGACTGGACTCAGTGGGCTGTGGTTGAGAACAGTGTGTCAATCTGTAGGCTACTCCTCAAACCACCCGCAGGCTTGTGACCTTGCTTGAACTGATCATCGTTTTTATCTGTTTAATTTGTGTCTTGGTTATCTTTTTCTGAACCAGCACAAATTTATTTTATGATCTGAGTCTAGCTACCAAAATTGAAGGACATTTTGCCACTATTCATGCAAGTAAATCAGGGACTAGTAAGTACTGAAAGCAAGATAAGTAGATGTGTACTTGGTGCTGAAATTATGTTACTGTCAAAAACTTTTGCTGTCCAAGATATTTAATTCTGGTGTCACACTTGCCCATACCACCAGCAAAAAAAACATACGTGGGCCAACAATTGTTGGTCTCCTCTCCTATTTGGTTTGTCTCTCTTGGTCATCAGTTGAAAATCCTCTCATTCTGATGCTTATGGTCTCCAATACATCTCTCCATCCCACTGTGCCTCCTGCACTACTCAGCAGCTTTGCTCCTTTTCTTTCCTCCATCAAGCCAGAACTCCTTTGTCCCCATCCCTCCTTTCTGTTCTAGGTTCAGCTCCCTGCCTCCCTGGCTGTGGTGAGATACCATTGGAATGCACTCCAGTGGTCATAATGGAGTATAGTGTTTGCATTTGCCTTGAATTGGCTCTGAAAGGGGCATTCTGCTGGCTGGCACCTGGGGGTGCACTAAAAAGAGCAAGGCATTCACAAAGGAAAGTGCAAAAAACCAGGCTGGTCCTTTATATGGCCGAGTACCGTTAGGACCACCACACACAAACCAAGCTGATGGACCAGCAGGAGAGGAGGCAGAGACAAAGCCATCCTCTAAGGGACCCGAGAGTCCCGCCCCTCCCTCTTCTACCATACTCTCCTGCCATGTTTTATAGGCTTGGTTGCGTTAACCATGGCAGCCTAATCAACCTGAAAGAGCGTTGTCCTAGATTGCTCCCCAATTATTGCCTCCCTCCCCCGGTGCAGACCCCAACATAACAGACATACAGGGACAGGCCCCACTATCTCCATTTATCACTTATTCAATACCAGTTTTGGGTGGTTAGTTGGCTGTCATCACCTTTGACCAACCCACTCCCTTAGTCCCAGGTCATGGGGTGAGAGTAGTTGGGTGTGATTGAGGATTAGTGGCAAGAGAGTGGAGGAAGCTGTGACACCAAAGTACAGGCCAGGTCCATTTTTAGAGGACGTGGAGTCATTTTGAATTCAAACTGTGTCAATGGGGAGAGAGGCTTGATTTAACTTGTACGCATGGGGCACGGCCAGTTTCTAACTTAGAAGTTATTACAGTTTTTTCCAACCGCTTACACACAGAATCTTTTCATGTCACACGATTTTTTGAAACCTCTCACTCAAAGTGCAAAACTACACACCAAATCTCCAAAACCTTAAGCTATTTCTCAGCCTTTGACTCAGTTGTCAATTGCATAAAACACTTTTTTCAAAACACTACACACAATTCTCTACCTAAAACACAAAAATCTCACAGGAAGTGACTTGCTTTCCTTTTCCAAACACAACCAATCAAAATGCTACACTTATTCACCAGGTCACACACACACTCCTCACATATGTAAACACTAATTGCTTAACTGATCACTAACCAATCACTGCTTTACTGTAGTATCAGATTACCTGTTTTGAACAATGGATGCCAACAATGGACAGAGAGCAAGAGGAGTAGGAGGGAGAGGCAGGGGACAACAACGAGGACAAATTCAAAGACGAAGAGTTGGAAGAGGAGGAAGAAGAGGACGAGGGCAAAGAAGAGAAGGAAGGAGAGCCATCTCTGATGAGATTAGGGCAACACTTGTTGATCATGTGATCAACCATGGTTTGACCATGAGAGAGGCTGGACTGAGAGTCCAGCCCAACTTGAGTCGATTTACAGTGGCGTCCATAATTCGAACCTTCAGAAATGAGAACAGGTATGCAACTATCTAATGACTATTTTAGCATTACAGTAATGTACTGTAAATTACGTATGACTGCATAGTATTGCATAAACATTTGTAACTCTAAGCCATCCATTTACTGCACTGCATTGAATGAATGAGGTTGGTTATCATGCTGTACTACATTTTTTTTTGTACATTGTTTACTGTTCCTATGCTGAACACATACTGTGTTTGAATTCTGTACAGAGTGGAAAGGCAAAGACATCATGGAGGACGAGGGGACGAGGATGCTTGTTTACAGATGTACAAGAGACTGCAATTATAAATATGGTTTTGGCCAACAATGCAATTAGGATTCGAGAGATAAGAGAGCATATCTTGAACAATGACACCATATTTAACAACTCAATGCTGTAAGCCTGTCGACCATACAACGCATCCTCCAACCGCACTAAGTGACGATGAAACAACTTTACAAGGTGCCATTTGAGAGAAACTCTGACAGTCTTAGAATCTGCGACATTACTTTGTAGAGGTATGTATGCAACACTACTTCCAGTACTTCAGACATACCATATTTACTCATCTGTATATCCTTTTGTCTGTTATAGAGAGTATTGGAGATGGATGCACATGTAATTCGCCATGAATTTATTTATGTGGATGAGGTTGGCTTCAACCTCACCAAAACCAGGCGGCGCGGAAGAAATGTAATAGGACAGAGGGCAATTACCAATGTCCCTGGACAGCGTGGGGGTAATGTAACTATGTGTCCTCCATCACAATGCCACACTGGGTCCGTACAACACCGGCCATATGCTCACTTTTCTGGTTGCAATTTACACAATGCTTGTCCCTGATCCAGATCAGGAGCCTGCTAGATTTGTGGTTATATGGGACAATGTTAGTTTTCACCGGGCTGTTCTGGTCCAAAACTGGTTTGCCACTCATCCACAATTTGTAGTTTTGTACCTACCCCCATATTCACCTTTTCTAAATCCCATAGAGGAATTCTTCTCAGCCTGGCGCTGGAAAGTGTATGATCGCCAACCCTATGCCCGCATGCCGCTTCTCCAGGCAATGGAGGACGCATGTGGGGACATAGAGGTTGCCTCTATCCAAGGTTGGATACGCCATGCTAGGAGATACGTTTTCTCGTGCCAAACATCGAGGGAAGTATCTTGTGATGTGGACGGAGTATTGTGGCCAGACCCAGCCCGGAGAAGAGATGAGGCGTAGCTTAGCACTGGTGACTGCCCCCCCAAACCCCCTACCAATTCCTGGACTGCCACCCCCGGGACCCCACACACACAATTGTGTTCTTTACTGTATTCTAAAGAATATACATTTGGTTTACATATGTTTATGGTTTTGTTGTATGCTACTGTATATAACAGTAATGTTTGGCCTAATAAATATTTTCTGTTTCTACATTGCATTGGTGTTTACAGTATACTTGTTACCCCTCTCAGCAATTACTTTCACTGTAGAACATTGTATTGAAATGTCGATACAAGCCTATGAAAGACCAAAGAGCTTTAGATTTAGAAGTGTTTACATGGTATATCCAAAAATGTACTATTATGAAATAAGTGTTTGCCATTTGATGCAAATGCTTCATTCTGACATGTGTTTATGGCATTTTGAAGGAGAAGTGAGGCATTTTGTGTGTGCAGTTTTGGGAATTGTGTGTCGAGTTTTGAAAACGTGTGTAAGCAGTTGGAAAAAACTAATAGTAAATATGTAAACTGAAATATACAATATTTGCTTAGTGCCAGTTGGTAGATTCATTCAGATACATGTTGCCTTCCTTGGTTTGATCTGCTGTTGACCGATAATGTTACAGTTCAAGGAGATAGAGGTTAATGATGTAATGTCAGCATGCTCAAATCCAATTTTATATTTCACTTAACTGCACAAAGAGAAACAGAACATGTAAACTTTCTCTAATCGCTTTAATTACAGTGCTTTTCTCACAAAAAAATGAAAGCTGAAATAACTTTACATAAAAAAAAATACATGTTTAGACAGTTTTGCTAAAGAGATTAACAATGTTTTCAAAGGTTCAAACAATCAGTTTAAAATCAAGAGGTTTTTTAATCCAACGCCTTGCTTTAAAATAAACACTAAGACATTTCCATAGCACTCTGGTGGACAGGGCAGGGGTCAATTCAAATTAAAAGGCAGTCAATTCAGGAAGCGAAGTTAAATAATTTTTAATTGGAAAAAACAGCATCTATTTTCAACGACTTCTCAAACTGTGGAGTAGAAGCTATTCATTTCAAACGTTTTTACATTTTTGAAGTTAATTACAATCAAGTTCCAAGTTTTGAATTCACTTCCTGAATTGACTGCCTTCAATTCGAACCCAGCCCAGCTGGTGGAATAACACCCAAAACCTTTTGATAAGAAGCTCAAAGGGTCGTAACGGAACAGCATGTTTCTTTTGACATGAGGACAAAAGTATACCTCAGAACATGGCCAAGGACAACATGAGCTGTAAAGGAGATAAGATACTAGCACTAAGTTTAAAAATGTGGAGCTCAAAACAGATTTCTTATTGCCACTGACACATGATACATGCCTCATTCCAAAACGATTAATATACTTTTATCATTCTCAATAAAAAGGCATGAAAACACCACCTTTAGGTCATGATCGAGGCTAATGCAGGACATCAGAATGTAGGCCTATAACGGTTTTGTCATACCAGTGCATCACATAGCATACACCTTCAATTATAGGGTTGTTGTGGCGCTAAGTCATTGTGATGTGGATGTTGAGGACATCAAGGCATCCCAACCCTTGAGCACCTGCAGTTGACAAGAGGGGTAACGACAGAATGCTTGTGCAGACTAAAAATGTAAACAATCAATTAGCTAGTCCCGCTGACAATCAATGTGTGTACAAGATATTAGATTCTGCACAGGATATGGGATTATTATAGCAAATGGATAGGCAGGAAGGAATTCTGCTTCTCCAGGCATTGTGAAGATCTGTTGATTTGTGCAGAATCTGTGAATCGCAAACATGCACTTGTTGCTCACCAACAAGACCAACATACAGACCACATCCTGCACTTTTTTTGCTATTAAATTCAGGCTCATTGTGACGAAGGCAGTACACATTATTATTAACCTGAGCCGCTGTCATACCAACAATGCTGACCAGACAGCACCTCTGTTCATCACAAAGCAGGTGAATGATGAGATTCAGAGGAACATACTCTACATGGCAGCCACTTCTCAACATGATCTGGACATACAACAAAAGCTGGTAAGTGTTGACAAGAGTTTTTGACTTTGAAGCCCACCGACCTCTGTTTTAGGCTTCATCTCAATAATATTCTCACAGTACAACTAGTTAATGCCAGTGTTTTGCTAAATGGTATTTTGGGGGAGCAGGATATTGTAGCATTCAGAGGTATTAAACCATAAATGATTCAAGTAGTGCATCATGTATGCATTATTCAGAATCCCACCCCCCCCCCCCAAAAA